ATATAGAGCGACAATATCCGCAACGAACGTATTGTTGTCGCTAAATTACTTTTGCAACAAAAACTCAATTTTTGCGACAACATTTGTTTGTCGCGAAATTGGTTTTTTTTGTAGTGGGAAAAAGAAAAAACTATCTTCTTCATCGACCCCCAACTCCCACCCCACCCCCTTCAAACCAAAACTAGAAATTTGCCACCGCCACGCCTACGGCCATAGACCACTATCGTCGCCGCCATCTCCATCGACTTCCGCCACCACACCAACCACATTCTATAATTTTATTTTATTTTTTACTAATCCCATTTTTTACCTCCGCCACCACCATTTTTTTACACCCTTGTATGAGATAACTCGTAGCATTACTTGAAATTGGTGTTTGATCCTATTTTGGCATTTGCTCATGACAGATGAAATGCGACAAAGGAGATGCACAGTTTTCCCAAGAAAGCCATGGGGTTATAGAGAGGAAAGGAGCATTGAAGATATTGAAACAGCGAAAGAGAAGCTAAATTTTACCAGTGGTTGCTTTATATTATCTGGTATTGGAGGCAAGATTGTGAATATAAGCATTGTTTCTGATGATGAAAAGCTATATTTAGTTGATTGCAGCCCAATGTGATTGTGAATATAAGCATTGTTTATTTTGTTTTTTTATTTAAGTTTTTAATTAGGGATTATTTTATGGGGAAAGTATTAAATCACTATTTTGTCCTTTTAAAATTGATTAAAATGTGGTCATAATTAATTTTTTGGGTCAACTAACGACAGATTGGATGGAAACCATCCATTGGGACTTCAAATGTTACGATTTGAAAGGTTTGGGGGTAACAGCAACGATTGAAAGATTAGAGGAAAATCTGCCACTGTTTAAAAGGTTTGGTGCCACAGCTGCAACTATCCCTTATATAAATTATTATTATTATTATTATTATTATTATTATTATTATTATTATTTTTAAAAGCTTTTTCGTGTGGAAGAGGGATTGATGAAATCATTTTTTTTTTATTTGACTACAGTGAGAAAATAGGGGATAAAGAATAAAATTGAGAAATGCTAGTTTACCATCTAGTTTACAAATTTCATCATTTTTGACATAAAAACACAATTAATCCCATCTACTTTACAAATTTCATCATTTTTTTTTTTACATAAAAACACAATTAATCCAACCATTAAAATGTTGCCACCTCAACGTGTGTAAATCAATATGTTAAAAATATCTATACAAGTAAAAAATTGAATAAAATTAGTTGAACCCTACTTCGCTTAGAGAGATGGTATTGGAAGTGTTGGGAATTTACTTAACATGAACAGCGGAAAATTAATAATTTTTCAATTCTCATCACGGATTTGCGTTGTGTTTAGATAGAAACTGTGTTGAGAGTAATACCTATGATGAATTCTGCAAACTCTTTTGCTGATTCTCGAACTCCAATGATCACGATCTGCAATCCAAGCTGTCCAATTGTCCAGCCTCCAATGGTGATCCACACAGAGAACAAGAATGACGGCTAGGATTTACTTTTCTTGTGCTAGCAAGAATAATGAAAATCTCTACAATTTACAAACCCTAGCAGCCTATTAATATAAGTCCAAGTGGGCTGGCCCATCTCTAAACTTAACTTGGTCCGATATTTAATTCATCAAATTAATTAAATACGGTCCATGAATTAATTAATCCAATTAATTAATTTGGGCCGATTAATAAGCAATCCAATTAATTATTTATTCAACACTTGTCAATTAATTAATTGGTAAATCTCATTGTTCTGGTTCTCTTTTGTGTGTCCCCCATTAGGTTCCCGATCACGATGCCTAACGACGTGAATTCTTATTTTGATTTAATCAAAATCGATAAATTAAAACACCCATTTTAATTTATCACTAATTCACATTCATCGTCCCAGATTGACATCTAGCAATATGTCAAGGCAATACATGTGATGAGAAATGTCACGTGATATTATAATCCTTTCGTCAATATGATCCAATCAATAATGAGATATAGATATGTGTCAATCTCAATTATCGATCATATCTTTTATCCCAGTGTTAAGTCAATGTAAGTCGAAAACTCTTTTCCGACTTATGAGTTCACCTTGGCCAAGGATTTCATTATTAACTTAATTGGATAAAATG